TTTATTTTTTCCGTGTCCTGTCTGGCTGTAAAGCAATCAGAATTTGATGTCTGAGTGTCGACGACAAGCCTTACAGTTTTACACTCACAGGTGGAGCGGTATAGCTTCAGCTAAAATGCCTCGTCTGATACCAAAACTTTATTGTAAATATTTCGGGGCTGCGCAGTGGCGCAGTGGTTAGAGCTGTTGCCTTGCAGCAAGAAGGTCCTGGGTTCGCTTCCCGGCCTGGGATCTTTCTGCATGGAGTTAGCATGTTCTCCCTGTGCAAGCGTGGTTCTCTCCGGGTACTCCGGCTTCCTCCCACAGTCCAAAAACATGACTGTTAGGTTGATTGGTCTGTCTAAATTGTGTGTGTGTGTGTGTGTGTGTGTGTGTGTGTGTGTGTGTGTGTGTGTGTGTGTGTATAATTGTTTGTTCTGTGTGTCTCTGTGTTGCCCTGCAATGGACTGGCACTTTGTCCAGAGTGTACCCCGCCTGATTGCCCATTGACCACTGGAGACTGGTTCATGTTCTTCTAGTCGGAATTTCAGAGTTCCGAGGAGAAAGCGAACGCACCATTAGTGAAACGGAAGCTAACAAATCAAGCTAATGTTATCGTAAACATTTTATTTACCTACCGGAGCTGCTCTGTTTACAACTTGCTCGCAGCGACCAATGACATAATGCTCTTGCGCATGCGCAGCTGTCTAGGCAAGTTCTCAGTGTGAAGGACGGGTACCGAAACGAAGCACGTTTCAAATGAAGTGAATCGGTGCTCGGTCTGTACTGTGGAATTCGGTCGGTACCTTAAAAAGTACCGAATTCGGTACCCATCCCTAATGACGATGTATAACAGTAACCATGTTTGCTTAAAACATATGGTAATAATTCATAGTGCATTTAGTACCATCCGCAGCCTTAGTTAACCAGGCATTTAAACACACCTGTAGGCCTGGTAGTAAATAGAGAAGTTATCCCAGAATTTCACCTGCTATAAAATAAATATTTTCATAAATTAAAGTGCACAGTTGCCATGTTGTTGAAAAAAGTTTAGAAACGCTGCAACTTTATGAGAAAACTGTGTGAAAGTCAGACAATTTAAACTTAACGATCACTGAAATTTCAAAAGATCTGATTAATAATAATTTTATATTATTACCTAGCAAAGTATAAATACTTTGTTTTGCACAAATACTTAATCCAGACACAGTTAAGCTGCAGCATTCAGCCTCTGTTGAGTGATGGTGAGTTTCTGATGGTGTGTAAAGAACAAAGAGACCTTTTGTCTGAGTTTGGTCGCTGTCCATGGTCCTGACACTCACATCTTTACAGTCTCTTGTCCTTGCTGTCAGGCTGTGTGGCCGGTATCAGATGGCATAATCTGTGCTCCATTAAATATAGACAATTCAGTTTTCATAAGAGCACCCTCTGATTAGCAAATGGCTTCACGGAGTCCAGAGTTTCCAAAGCGAGCTGTAGACACACGCAGCCTTTAATCTGGTGATGAATGGATTCTGGTGCCGGCCACCTCACAGCCGCACCGTGTCTGCACAGTTCTGGGCTGTTGCCTGGATGCAGCCAGCCTGCCAGCTGATCGTTTCTTTTACTACAGGTCGAAAGACGAGTTGTAAGTTAGAAACCAACCGACTTTTCATCTGTGGCATTCATCTGTGAAGGGAAAAGCTCCTTGTGCAGCCTGTGGAGGGAAACATATGGAGGACCGCAGCCGTTCTGTGAACATAACAGCACAGCCACATCCAGAACTGCTTTTGAGCTGAGCTGGAAACCTCATAGGTAACTGCAATTACACCCCCCCCCTCCCCCCTCACCACCCCCCATCTTCAGCAGATCTCTATGGTTTTCAATGAAAGCCACTAGAGTGCGCCAAAGTACACAATTCTTGTTGCTGCAGTTTTAAAAATCCCTCAGGAGCTGAAGGGATGTTGACAATTAGAATCACTTTTGAGCTTTTTAGCTCAGACTGAGTCTTCCTCTGAGACTTTTTTGGGGGGGCTGTCGACTGAAGCACAGATGTAATCAGATTACAGAGGTTCAGGGAGGTCCAAGCTTTGTGCTGATTCAACACATTAACCCCCCATACTCCCCCACCAACCAAAAGGGCAGCCCATGAGAACGGCATTTATTCTGGGAGTAAATGAGAAATCAAGATTCTCTTTCACACACATACACACACACACACACACACACACACACACACACACACACACACACACACACGCACGCACGCACGCACGCACACACACACACACCGGCTTGTTAGTGAAGGCGGAAACACTGGAGATACATGTGTCTGGGAATGGGACGGGGCCCTGGAGGCTCACTTCCCGCCTCAGCAGCTCTTATGAAATGTCTGTAGAGGTCATGTAAACAGTTTGCATGGGGCATCAGCTGTTTATGTGCGTTTTCTGCCTTTAAACACAATGATTCCCACAATTCTCTAATCTCCCTTCAAATTCTTGTTCCTATTCCCCTTAAATTGCATAATCTCCTGAAGGGAGAGCATTGCAGCTGAACAACTCGGGACGAAATTCAGACGTGCATCCTCTCTGGGATCACGTTAATTCAGTGGCTTTCACTAAACAAGCCTGTCTCTGTGCTGAGGCCTCTCCCGTGTGTGCAGGACAGTATGCTAATTTCCTGGGTGTCTGGGTTCCGCCGCTCCTCTGCAGTTCATTGCTGTAATTGCTAGAAACGGCTGAGAACTTCAAGAATGTGAACCTGAAACTAGCAGGAACCCCTTTTTTCTTCTTCAATCCAATCCATACTCAGGGCAATCCGGAGAATGCTCCCGAATCTGAGCGTTAACAAAACATGTGGAGATGGTGTAGATCTGACACACACACACACACACACACACACACACACACACACACACACACACACACACACACACACACACACACACACACACACACTGAGATTGGCTCTATTATGTCTCGGAATAATGTAAAACAGCTTTCCTGGTTCTCCCCGCTCCTGCTCCTGTCTCCGTCTCTTCGGTTTCACAGAGGACCTTTGAAATGCAGCCATGGCGGTGGTGGTCTGGCGGTGCGCTCAGGGGAGAGTGGGGTCCAAGCTGCATACTCCACCCCATCCAAAGACAACGCCGGTGCAGACAGAGGGGCAGACGAGAGATGACACCACTACTTGTGCTCTGAGATCTGCTTGGTGGTAGTCTCGGTCAAGATTGTGAAAGGAGCTTGGAGAATTGGGAGTTCGCTTAATTGGATTTCTGATGGGCGAATGTTTTCCAAGCACCCAGAAAAGAAGGCAGGGGCCAAATTGTTTTTAAATTAAAGATGTGAAACAAATGTAGCTGCTTTCCATTGTGGTTTCAACTTTATTTTGTTTTGATCCAGAGCTGGAGCATCAACACAGACTCACTTACAGGTCCAGTCGGCATAGGCTCAGTGCAGGTGGACCCCCACCGTGGGTCACCAAAAATTACACAGGGAATCTCGAGATGACTTCCAGAAGCTGAGACGTTTGGGAATTTGATCTAAACACAGTGAGGACGACCTGTTGACTGAGCATCAGAAGGATAAAGGAAGTTTATTTGAACGTGACGTCGATGTTAGCGCCTGACAAGTTAGTGTGTTCCACTGGGATTTGAACCCACAGCCACTTCAGAGAATCAACCCGGTAAGCAGCTGTTGAGGATTGTGAGTGGAAATGTCAGCAGATGTCACTCCTGTCAGATAAAAAGAGAAAATGGAGGCTGATCACCAGAACTGGACCAGAAGGGACTGGAAGCACCTTTCCTAATCTGGATTTCAACCGTAACATTCAGATGGTCGAGTCAGAATTTGATACCACCAACATGAAAACAGGGATCCATCCTGGATTGGATCAAGAAGAAATGTTTCTCAGTCCCACCTGAGCCGACCTGGTTATTGTTGCTGACCACGTGCATCCCTTTATGACCCTATAATCCTATTTCAGTAAAATTATATGTTTCTTTTTTATTTCTAAAGGTAAATAAAAGAAATGAAAGAAACCCATCAGATTATAATTCACTCAAAGAAAGTTAAGAATGTAGAACATACGTAAATGCTAATAACAATATAACATTTTACCAATAACAAAAGTAAAAAAAGAGACATTCCTGGACTCTGTAGCCGTCAAACCCAACATTCGCTGATCAAAGGGAATTCGCCGTTTTGTTGAAACAAAAATAATGAGCTTAAGCAGAAAAGATAAGTTACAAAATACCAATTTTATTCTTACAATAAACAAAATGTACAATCACAATGCCAATTTCACTCACTGTTGTCAGGTCTGTTTGTCCCTTAGAAATAGAAAAGAACTGATGAAACGTACCAGCAAAATCCAACAGCAGCTGTTAGATTCAATTTCCTGACCAAAGTTCATGAGAATAAAAATAGAAATAAACACGTAAACTTTACATATGAGCAAGAAAGAAGTACAATTCCTGGATATTATACATGTAGAACCTTAAATAACACAAGTTTTTTTTATGACTTTTCTTTTAAAAATCCAACATTTAAAATGCTTTTGATGGCGAAAGGAATAAAAGCAGAACAGAGGCAGAGTGGGATGTCAGTGCTGCGTAACGTGTAAACAGATTTTAATTCCAGTTCCTGTCCAGCTCCAAAAGAAAGCAGAAAACAAGGTAATGGAAGATAAATTAAATGTTGAAAACACCATAAAATATTTAAATTTTTATTCATAAATCATAATAGCTACATTTTTTTTAGTTTGTCTGAGGCAGTCAGGACACTTTTAAGTTCAGTTTCTTTGGAGTTTGGAACATCCTGAGTGCAAATTTTAAACTTTAAGCTCTCATTTAGTGATTTTATCAGTTAATTTCTTTTTCAGTTGGGTCAATTTATCACCAACAAGAGCTGAAAAGCAAAAGAAAACTGAAAAAAAGGGTTTCTTCTTTGTTTTTAAACAAAAAACAGCTCTGTGAGTTCAGATTCAACTCCAATGTAAACGCATGGTCTGTCCAAGTTGTGTGTGTGTGTGTGTGTGTGTGTGTGTGTGTGTGTGTGTGTGTGTGTGTGTGTGTGTGTGTGTGGCGGCAGGACCAAAACCACGAGCTCTGCTGGCAGCCAGCCGCAAGTGCTGCTAGAAATAAAACAAGAAATAAGTGCTTTTATGAAACAAACAGACACAAAGCTCCTGTCGCTTTTTGGTCACCAGTTTGCTGCCAGCAGCTGAATCCAATCACCTCCTTTATTTGTGTTTTTTTGCACTTTTTCCTTAAAGAATCTCCCAAAGTCTTGGTGAATATGAACCCAGAGCATCCAAGACTTTTAAAATCAAAACAAAACTAGAGATAAATGTAACTCGGAATGTTCTTTTTTTGTCTTAAAGACGGAAAAAAAGTGAAACAACTGGAGAATCTTTCTTCACGCGTATAAAAGCTAGAATAGACTTGGCATGTGTAAGCTGTAATCCTGAGCAAGCTTTCAGCCAGGCTGCGCATGAAGGGAAAAATAAAAATGCAGATTTTGCAAATCCGCGAGATGATCGGAGCAAAATTCCAGTCCTGAGGAGTTCATGTAACACAACCAGACCTTAGAAAGCCCCACCGGATGCTTTAAAGTGCACCACTGGACTTCTGACTTTGAAAAGGACTACAACTATATAAGTGCACGTTTGACAAGACGGAATAAAAAAATGAAGCAAAAAGTCCTTAAATGATGACGATTTCTCCCAAACTGAAGCCGTTTTTACCGATCGGTTACCGAGAGGCACACTGCAAGTGATCGCTGAATAAATACCGACGCCTTTCACGCACACGTTGGCCTCCGAACGAGTCAAACCGAAACCTCCATCATGCCGCAATACTCTTTGGAAATTATATTTCATAAGGATTAAAAATCTTTGGGTGCTACAACAGAAAACCAAATAAATCTTAAATTACCTATAAAAAAATTAACTTAGTCATTTAGACGCATCAAAAATATTCAGATCACACTCCTTCGACTCAAGTTTCAAATACAATACATAATTTATGGCTTCATAAGTTAAAAACGCTTCAATCTACATCAAAGTTTCACCCACAATGTACAAGATAAATTAACTGTCTCTAAGCAACAAGGATTGTCAAAACTGTCTCATCTGCTACTCAGTGCTTAACTTGCATGGTGATATTGTTGTCATACAAAAACATGCTCCGCGTAAAACAAACAAAACAAACAAAAAGCGGTAAGGAAGTAGAAACTCTGTACAAAAGAGGCAGAAAGCATCCCTCAGCTGGTGGATTAACAACAGAGAAGCGTCTCAGCTGTGAGTAAACCGTTGCAGCGAGAACGACTCCCGTCGTAGCGCCGCGGTCAAAACACATTCCAGGAAGACAAGTCGGCACAAGTCTGCTCTTCTTTTTCATCTCTGCTGTATTTCTAAGCAGCAGATAGCCGGCGAGGCCTGAAAAAAATCCGCTTTTTTTTTGGTTTTGTGCTTTCAGACGTCAGTCGACTTTTAATACGGCCTCCAGACCGCCTCGTCCATCCTGCCTCCGGGGTTCAGAACAGTTGGGGAGTTACTGTGGCTCCCATCCCCGTCCACCCCTCCTTCTGTCTGGGTGGGGAGGTTGGGGTTCACCAGGGAGGTGCCCGTGGAGGCGCTAGTGCAAGGTGGGATCATCCGAGAAGGCGAGCGATCCCCGCCAGGGACCATGCTGAACTGGTAGGAGTTGGATGACGCCCCGTAGTAGAGATAGGGCGTGCTGCTGGTCTGGAAGGGTCCACTCTGGCTCTGGGTGGAGCCCGGGTAGGGCGGGGGCAGGTAGTGGTAGTGGGCGCTGCCCAGCGACATGGCCGAAGTGACGGGTGGCGAATACGTGAAGGTGGGCGGGTAGTGCATGCGGGGGCTGGAGAAGCGGCTGTCAGCGATGGAGGAAAGGCTCGGGAACTGGCGCTCGAACTGACCCGGGAATGGGCTCAGGTCTGAGGAGCCTGCAAACACACACACACACACACACACACACGTGTTATGATGGCATCCTTTAAGTGTGTCAGGAATAAAAACTTAAATCAATCACTTAGGGGAGTTGTTTGAAACCAGATATGTGAATGAACCGGTGCGGATAAAATGATCCGTTAAATTCATCACTTTCTGCAGCGTTTCACTCTCCTGCATTTCCCATGCACACCGCTGCCCCTCCGCGTGTGTCGGTGCATGTTTATGTGCATCCATATAATTGTTTATGCATGCAAATGTGTGTGCAAATGGTGTGTGTGTGTGTGAATACTGTATGCACATAAAAAAGCAGTTGGGATGAATCAGGAGCTGCACATGTGGAAACACTTTGCGCAGAAACAGTTTCCATGAGATCCATAATGAGGCAGGGCTGAGCTCTGATGTGGCTCCTCTCCTCGCCTCCCATCGGCTCCGGCGTCTGTGTGTGTGTGTGTGTGTGTGAGTCCAGAGCCGAGAAGGAGCTGCTCCGTCTCACCCTTCGTTCCTCTTTTCACTTCATCCCTTAAACAATACCCAAAAACCACTAACTGGCTGTGGCGAGCTTCGCCAGGAGTTGAAGGAGAATAGGAGGTCCTCGTCTTCCTCCTCCTCCAACGTCCCCCTCCTTCCCTTCATCCTCTTGGTGGTTTAGTGCAGCCATGGAGCTCTTATCATAAATCACCAGGCGTCTTCCGTGTCACCATGTCTGCTCCGAGAGGAGGAGGAGGAGGGCGCAGTGTTTATGTGCAGGGAGGGATTGCGAAGTTGGGTTTGTCGCTAGCGTCAGATAGCATATGCTGCCAATTAAAGCCTTTAAACTTCCTGTTTTCCATCCGTTTGATTCCGACAGGAATAGTAGGCGATTGTGGAAAAAGAAGTGTGACTTTAGTTGTTCGGCTCTTCGTTTCTCACTTTGAAGATGAAACGTTGTTAGCGGAAAGGAGACCACCGTGTTTGTTTGGAAACATCACTTCCGAGGGGAGGCGTCACGACTCCAGCCCATGAACATTCTGCAAACGCTTCTCGGGAAATTGAACTTCTCAGCAGCTGGATTGTTTCAGGTTGCAAACGGAGCATCTACGGCGGCGTGCTCCTCACCGTGGCGAGGTGTCAGCGTGACCTCTGCAGATCCCAGAGCCTCAGGCGCGCTAAGCACAGGTGTCAATCTGGTGCAGAGGCTCGTGTCTGCGCGTGCACAATCGCCCGTCCACACGTGTCACCCGGAGAACAAACACGCATGAGATGAAAGCTGCATGGGGAAAAGGAGCGGGTGGGGGTGGGGGGTGGGGGGCTACCGAGCTAATCAGAGCTGACAGGGCAGCTGGCTGGACTTTAAACCTCTTCTGATGCAGAGTCACACGGCTGCATCGCTTAATCACTCGCCCTCACTTACCACGCGCGCACGCACACACACACACACACAGAGGAGAGTGTGTTAGCTCAAGGAAACAGAAAAAGTTAGACGGTTCTCCTAGCTGTGAGTCAAACAGGTGTAGGGGACGCAGATGCTGCCATCACTCCCAAGAGGAATACCCAGAATGCTTTGGGAAAGCGGCAGTAAAGACATTAAATTTTTCGACCCTGTTATTTTCCCTGGCCTGCTATTACCCAGACCCCTCTTGGATCAAAGAATTAAAAAAAAAATCATTATTTTCTGTCTTCTGCTTCAAAAACTTGATTTATTAAAATCTCCACGTGAGAACAAGCTCAGCAGCATTTTTAGATCGAGTTCAGTGGTTTGGATTTGTTAATGAACTGGCTGTGAGGCGGAGGAGTACCTGGCAATCGTCTGGGCACGTCGCTGATGGCTGGCAGGCCCGTGCTACGGCTGGAGGAGAGGGGGGTGGTGGAGTGCACCGAAGGGGACGCCATGGGACTCAGGTAGGACGGGTACGTCTGTTCATACGACCAGGAAGGAGAGGACTGGGACTGGCGAGGGTCTAATGGGGGAGAGGTGAAGCAAGGGGGAGGAAAGAGACATGCATGTTCAGATAATCCAGCTATAATCTGACAGTTACAGACATCCCGCTGCACGGATGACCCTGCTGTGTAGCCTCCTCCTTAATGACACATCTAGTGTTTACCTCGGACCAGACCGTCCCCCTGTTTGCTTCATGAACGTCTCGCTGGGACCCAGCCAGACTCTAACACAGCGGCTACACGCTACGCCGTTGTTGTGACTGCACAATCGCACGGAGTGGGGGGAGTATGTGTGTGTGTGTGTGTGTGTGTGTGTGTGTGTGTGTGTGTGTGGGAGTGATGCTCAGAAACCAGCCACAAAGTTTTGGAACGTCATCGTAAAAATGGCTGAAGGAGACAGAAACTGGAACTCTGGACGTTGGAGCTTGTTAATATGTTGCGGCAATCCAACAAATTAGGGATTAAATAATAAATAAATCAGATAAAAATATTACATTTTGTGTAGTAAACGTTAAAATGGGATGGTTCAGATCTTTTGTATTGGGGTTAACTTCCTACCTGCTGGAGAAAGCTTTTTTTGAACATCCTCAGTTTGGAGAAATAGAGATTAGTTGTGGTCAGACTGACGAGTGTTTTAGTTAAACAGCGTTTATAGAGAGACACGCCAACTTGAACTTAAGATAAAGCGTTTGAAACAAAGGTGAGCATAATTCAAACCTTGCCTGGAAGAGCAGGAAAGGAACAGGTGAGGTAATGAGGGCTGCATTCCAATCCTGTGGCCGTTCATGCTCCTTCTAAATGCAACGTGGGACTCATTAATGCACCTGTGCTTTCCCCACTGATCCAAGAAAAGAGGTTTAGAACGTGTTTTAGTTGAAAACTACTGCATTCGAAGAGCTGTCAACAACAGGTAGATCCGACCGGTTCGCTTCAAGTTCATATGTGAAGCACTTTAATTATGATAGAATCACATTTTATTCAGTCTCATTAGATTAGATTATATGAAATAATAAAAAACGATTTAACATTAGATTATATTAGGTTAGATAATAAAATATGTAAATGAATGCTTTGTTGAACTGAAACAGGTTTTCTGCTGAACTTTTGCTCAGTTTTGTCATTTTATGAAGTTTTTGCTATTTTTCTATTGAATTTTTCACATTTATGATGAACAAACAAACAAATAAAAAGATAAAGAATGGCAATTGTAAACACATTTTGGTGAAAAATAAAATAACTTGTCTGTCATGGAAACAGGCATTTGCAAAAGCAGAGCAAATAAAATGTAAATGCTTTCCGATCATCTTTTCTTCAGGCAGAAGTCTCAGCATGGGCAACAAGCTTTTAGGCTCAGTAACACATTTAGCCATCTTGTTTTTGTAACATGCCCGAAACACCTCCCCAGAGAGGCATCCTGACCAGATGCCCAAACCACCTCAACCAACTCCTTTCGATCCGGAGGAGCAGCGGTTCTACTCCGAGTCCCTCCCGAATGTCCGAGCTCCTCACCCTATCTCTACGGCTGAGCCCGGCCACCGGAGGACACTCACTTCGGCCGCTTGTATCCGCGATCTCGTTCTTTCAGTCATTGCCGCCATATTAAACCATATTAAAGTATTCTGAACCTGACTAAAACAAAATGTGGAACAAAAACTAAAATATAACCCTTAAGTAACATTTAAGGATCAAATTTAGTTAAAAATTCTCTGCTCACGTCTGTTTTCATCGCTAATAGCTCCAAATCAAAACATTCGGTTCACAGATCACCCCCCACATTCGGCCACGCGGCGTAACCATGCCTCACATCGTCCCCTTTAGCAGCACTACAAAGCAGAGGAACTCAGAGTTAAGTGACCACACGTGACAGGGCTCCAGATATGCGAGCGATCGGGTGGCAGCCGTGCCCGGCCGAGAGAGATGGTGTTACATCCTAAAGCTGACGGATGGAGTGATGGATACAATCTGAACGTAACGCGCTCTGCTGCCACTCCAGTTCAGGTTTGGTGTTGCACACACTCTGCAAACATCTCTCAGTTTTTACTTTCTGATTCTAAATGACAACAAACCTATTTTTACTGTCTGTTTTTGCACAATGGCTACATCATTTGATGAATTTCTAAAACGATACCTGCTGACACATTAATGAAGAATCATCGCCCCAAAGTGCTTTTTAGATTAAAACTTCCAAAAGCACGGTATGGATGAGGGTCTAATTTTATAGCACCACGTTTAAAGTAAGCCGTGGCAGTGAAGCCCCCAGAGACCCTACCCATTAATCCTGCAAGACATAAACTCTCTTTCTCCAAATTGAGGCTGTTCAGGAGGTGATTATCGATTCTTCTTGGCTCACCCGTTATCTGCGTCTGACCCCGCGGGTTGAAGGAGTTGGCGGCTGTGTTGAGAGTTGGTCGGGGGCTTTGGGTGGGAACCGTCACCCTCATCCTCTCCAGCTCGCTGAGGCGGTCCGAGAACAGCCCGGCTTTGGGGGGGTCCTCCAGCTTCTGACGGTGCCCTGCACAGGACAGAAGCAGGAAAAGATAAAATCAGCTACTGTCTAAGAAAAAAAAGAATTAAAAGGGAAAGAAATGAGCCTTTTGTTGATGAGTGTGACTACATTCTTTATACTGCTGTTAGTCAATAAAATTACTTTTTAATAATCTAAACATTATACATAAAAAAATCAGTAAAATAGAGTAAAAAGATTATTTTTAACACAAATATCCCTCCCATTATGGTTTATCCCTTCCTAGTGTTAACTTTGGGCCATGCATAGCAGCTTTTGGGTAGAAATCTTTATCCAGCAGACTGACTCAAACCAAAAACCCAAACCAGGTCTGAACAGCTCTATATGATCCAGTTATCAGGCAACAAATACATCCAAACTGGGTTGTCCTTGCTGCTTTCAGGCTAACGATGCTTCGATTTGAAGCTGCAAATCTTGCTGAATGGAACGCGATGCCAGTAAAATTCATATTTACTCTGTTCTAGTTCATTCTTGTGTGTTTGGCGAAAAAGATTCAAAGTTGAATTTAGAGCATGCAGACAGATGCGGTTCTCCCCGCCAGACTCCAGCTCTGAAGGCTCTTCGTGCATCTGGTCAAATATCCTGTGTAATGTGCAGCTCAATGAGACACTTGTGCTTTACTCGGTACAGCCTGATCTCCTAAACAAGGTGCGACGAAGGCTTCAGGGAACGATGCGTAATTACTCAAAACACTCTAAACAAATATCTGGGGTTAGCTTGCAGAAAACAATGTAAAGAGGGCCAAAACCTCAAACAAAGACCCTCATTAAACCAGTAAAACCAGTAATGGATGTATCAGGTCTTCTTGCATTTCTTCATGGATATTTATTTATTTTTCAAAGCCTACATTATTCTTTTCTCTTGAATATTTCAGGTTGTTAAAGCGACACTGAGCAGTTTTCTACTACTACAGTTACCTACTTCACTTGGGACAGCACTCTGCAGCCTTCTGCTGACCAGAATTAGCACAAAGAAGTTTTGTGGAGTGGGTTGGTGTCCTCGAAGGGCGCTTTTTACCTGCTTAAGACGTAAGCTATTTTCTGTGTTATTAGCTAATTTAAAGACTAGCAGTTAGCTTTTTCAGTTTGCCAACCATCAATGAAATAAATAATAATGAGAAAGATAAGTTTGCTTTTTTTTGTTAGCATCATGATGGAGCCTGGAAATAAAAGTCTTTAGATGCAAAGCAAAGGGCTAAACCCAGAGTGACCATCTGCGCTGCCCACACTCGTGTGAGGAAGCTAAAGAAGGCTATAAAATCATGGGCTGATAGTGACCTGGCTTTGTTGCTGCTGGACTTGTGGTTTATATTAGTATCAGTTGACTCATGTTAGGGTTAGCTTGCTGTTAGCGTTAGCTACAACAGGCTGCTGCAGGGTCGTTCATGACAGTTGTAATCCCATTTTCAACCAGTAGGAAGGAGAAGCTGGAAACTGTTAAGTGTTACTTTACATTCCTTCAATAAACTCTCTCTCTCTCTCTCTCTCTCTCTCTCTCTGTCTGAGCCCAGCCACCTATCCGAGTGGGAACCAGCAGCCCAGGTGTAGACACACACACACACACACACACACACACACACACACACACACACACACACACACACACACACACACACACACCGTGTCAGGGCGTCTGTTTTACACTAGCTCCCCTGTAAAGGCGGTAAAGTAAATATCAAACAGAGGAGAGCAGAAACTCCTGCTGTGTTTGGCCCAGCTCCAGCTGGCTCAGGCAGAAACAAGGGAGCTACTTCAGAATCCTGCCTAACCTGCCTGCAGCAGGGCTGGGAACAAAGAGCTGGCACCTCCACATAACGCAGAGTGAGAGCAGACAAAAACAAAAACAACAACAAATTGGAATTTCTGTTACTGAAGCAACACTAACAAGTTTTTAACACTTTAAGCTATAGCATTAAAACAGCACTTAACAGTTTTGTGGTTAAGGTAGGGACACTAAAGCTTGGTTTATGCTTGACGCGTCCGTGAGGTCCGCGCGGAAAAGTTGCGTCATTTTAACAACCACGCCCCTCCACCGCGCCTCCGCACGGCCCAAACTTTCTGCACCGCGCACCTAGGAAATTTTCTAACCACGCGGACGGTCGGACGCAGAAAAACATGGCGGACTGGCAAGAACTAGTATGGCAGAGGTTCGTAAATACAGACATTTGTATGATTCAGCTCTCAAAGATCACCGTGATCAACATGTTGTTAATAATTCTTGGAGAGAAATAGCTCGCACTGTCGGAAAAGACGAGGACGCTGTTAAAAATGCTGGAATGCCATGTTGTAAACAACAGTCATTTTAACTTCTACTATGGTGTAGTGTTGGTGCATGCCGTAGAGCTCCATGCTGCCCCCTACAGTTTGGGAGAATATTGGCTCACCCTAGAGACAAGCCGCATGAACCACAAACACTGCAAGTTGTGAAGCGCGTTCCATCCGCGAGCCGCATCACCAAGCGGAAAGTGAATGTGTCAAGCATAAACCAAGCTTAATGTAAGGTCTCTACCTGCTTTACGGTAATTTACGGCAAAATCTGTTTACTGTATTGGTAGCTAAAGGCTAGCAGTTAGCTTTGTTGCCACCTGTCAATTAAAAGTACACGAAAAGGAAGTAAAAGTAAGAAAGTTGAGTCTTTGGAGGCAAAGAGCTAAAAACAGAGTGAACGTCGGCACGGCCTACACTAGTTTCAGTGAGCTGAAGAAGACTACAAAATCACAGACTGATGGTGACCTGGCTTTGTTGCTACTGGACTAAGTGATAATATTGTTCTTTCAACAGTGTGGATCTTTTTACTTTGTGGCTTATTTATTCGGCTCATGTTAGCATTAGCTTGTTTTAGTGCTAGCTACAGCAGCAGGGCTTTCAGCCATTACGATGGAGAAGCAGAAAACATACGTGTAGTTTTGAAAAAGAGCCACAAAAAAAAACAGCTTTACCTAAACGTATTAATGACATCCTGACTGAGGAGAGCTCCTGCCTTTTACATCCAGATGTCTTCATTTCTGCAGAATTATCTTCGAAGTCACTTTAATGGTTGAATAAATGCAAAATGACAGGACCAGATTCCTACAAAACCGCCCATTACAGTCTGGCACTTTCTCCACTTCTGCAACAACACATTAGTTCAGCCTCAGATGTGCTATGAAAAACCATCTCGCCATACAAAACAAATTATAACAACAGTTTAGAACTGCAATGACAAGGGATTTGGCAAAAAAAAAAAAAAAAAAAAAAAGCTGAGGAGACTGATTTTAATTGCAGTGATATTCCCAGACTGGCATCATCCTAAACCAAGTAACTTATCATCAGCTTCATGCCCTTATTAAAGCCTAGATTACATATTTCATTTCCATATTTCATTAAGTATATTTCCTCATCCATTTCCTGCAGATTATCCCTCGCTGCTCAGTACAAGCTGTGCCCAGTCAATCATTTCCATTTTCAGCTAAATGGATTTCTATTCTAAAAAAGCCTCGGCACACAGAGCAGCCTTTGTGTGCCGACTGTCTCCTAGTGATGGGAATAAATAGCAATAGGGGAGACGGTGCGAAGGGGAGAGACCCTGATGACCAGTAAATTAAGAGCTGTGCACGCTTGTGAAGCAGTCGGACGACAGCGTGAAAAGTGCTGACAGCAACAATTGGGGAAAAAGTTAGAGACGATTTTGGATTTCCACATCGTTTTGGAGGATTTGACCCCATGTGCATTGCTGTCAACACTCACCGGGCTAGTACACACACACACACACACACACACACACACACACACACACACACACACACACACACACACACACACACACACACACACACACACACACACACACACACACACACACACACACACACACACACACACACGTGCGCGCAAGGGATGATACGGACGACCATAAGAGAATAAAACAATATTTCTGGAATCTGGTTTCCTCAGATTGCAACAAAAATGGTGATTAATATTGAATTTGGAGGCAATATTAACATGAAACAACATTAAGTCCCATGAAAACTGATCATATGGTTAAGTTTTGTTTCCAAAAAATGTCCTTCAGGAAGTTTTACCAGATCCTGGAAGACCACACACACAGATCGCTTTAGAGATGAGTGACCGCTGCTAAATCCCTCACAGCATCATCATTGTTCTTAAAATACTTCAAAACCAGCCACAGATACTTTGATTTAAAACGTCAGGTACAGTTAAAGGCTGAAACTACACAAACACACACACAGAGGTTAAAGGGGGGCAAATTTCACAAATCAAAGCCCTTCAAGGCACGGAGGTGGACAGGTCATGGTTTGGGTGGCACACAATAGCGCAGATGAACTTTTTTGTTTAAAACAAAAAGGAGAATGAGTGTGAATATGACATCATGTGACCTGAAGAGCAACAGATTCAGGCTGGGGAGAAGATCTGGGAAACAGTTTAATGATTAAGTCTGAATCACTGAGAACTGAGGTCAAAAATCTGTGTGGTTGAACTTTGACCTTGGCAAAGATTGTTTATGTTCAGAGATTTCAATAGAAATGAGTTTTAGGTCGTTCCAAGTGAGTCCTGTTACTTCTGGTAGGTAAAATGACTCGGATACGTTGGGTTGTAAAAGTGTTTCAGGTCCGGAGAGTGAAACAACTCAGGTGGTAGAGCGGGTTGCCCCATGATCATGGTTATGGGGTCGATTCCAGCTCCCGCCAGGGGTATCCTGCTGTTGTGTCCTTGGGCAAGACACTTCACCCAACTTGCCTGTGTTAGTGGTGGTCAGAGGGGCCGACGGCGCCAAATGGCAGCCTCACCATTTGGTCAGACCTCCCCAGGGCGGCTGTGGCTACAAGTAGCTTACCATCACTAGCAGTGTGTGAATGTGAGAGTGTGTGAAAGCGTCTTTGGGTGTCTAGAAAAGCGCTATATAAGTTCAATGCATCATCATTATTATTATTATTATTATTATTATTATTATTATTATTATTATTATTATCACCCAGAAGAAGTAAGAAA